CTCTCACAGATATGTAGAAACAGAAAAAAAATGTTACAATTTAAACAATAATTATAATATTACACAATAGAAATGGACTAAAGCAAAATAATAAGGCCTACTTGAGACTCTACAGTTACTGGAGAGGACAGCATTCAAACACCAGATTAATCATATAAGTAGAAAAATACACCCATTATAATTATATCTATCTTAAATCGAGTAGCTGGAGACATGGATAGAGATAACTAAGTGACTGAACAATCCATACATTACACCTTTAAAACAACCCCAATGTACATGTCTTAGGATAAGTGTCAAATGGTGATTGTGGTCTATTCAATCACTTGGTCATGGCTGGTGGAACACTGGCTACTAAAGGGGGGGGGGGGGGCAAATAAGTACTTACAGGTGTGTAGTTATGACACAGACTGGTAGCCACAATCAACACACTGTTTTCATTCACAATGTGTGTAAAGACATTAATGACCACTGCTGTTGATAAATCTAATGCCCTAGAAAAATGGTAACATGTATAGGATAACACCTACATGGAAGCAGAAAAAATATGAAAATCATGAGGAATCAGTGAAAATAGACTTCCATCCAAACAAAGTTCCAGTCCCACAAGTTCTGAGTGCTAATACCACCTCTTAACAGAAAACAGGATACGTCTTATGTTTTGTCTTTAAACACACATACTGTACATACATACAAAAATACATAAGTACATATATAAACACATAAGCATGCAAACACACACACACACACACAAGAGCACACGCACACATAAAGACACACATTCCTCTATACAATTTTAAAGTCTTTAATTAGATAATGTACTACACCCATAAGCAATTATCTAAATTTCTTCAAAATGGCTGAGAAATGATCATATTAAAAGCCTTGTTCACATGTAATTTGATAACCTATGCACAGCCAAAGATCCTTCTTACCTACCTTGAAATAAAGTTACTTAAGGGATATAAGCTTTAGTCAAAGGCTTAAGCTGGGACAGGCACTTCTGGATGATGAAGCTTATTTGATGTATGGTTTTGGGATTAAAAAACAACCTCTTGGTACTATCTGTGGGTTTTGTTTATGTGCCTTCCATAATGAAGTTAATAATGCCAGAATGTATTTTCTCAAAAGAATTACTTGTTGACTTTCATTTCATGGAAATCAGCTTTCTTATGAGATCCTGGCTCCTGAAGATATTGAGCTTTATCTTAATATAGTGAAAATTTAAGTTTTGTTCACCATCTTCCTTTCATTTTGCAAAATGAACACTAAACCTATTTCTGCCTCAGCTTCCTTCAACCCTAAACCTCTAGGGTAACTTACTTTTACAATTCTAAAACTGTATTATCATAGCATGCTTATGCCTTAAAAAAGCTTTTAATGTTCTCTATCTATAAGTTAAATTTTCATGGAGTACAATATTTTGTTTTAGAAACAGTGGCTGTCTTTACTTTTTTGGCAACCTTCCTTCTTTTCTAGTACAATACAGTCATAAAACTGTTATCAAATCTTATTACCTATACCGTTATAGAACATTTTTTGTATCATTTCTAACAACTAAACTATGAGAAACATGAAAGGTATTTAGCTAGTTTAAGTAATATACATCTAATAGAGTACTCTACATTTTTGACAGATCACTATGTCAACTATAAATTTCCTATTCCTAAAGACTAGCAAATAGCAAGAAGATTTATTCAACAACATGCATGTTTTTAAGCTATTAAATTGTGGACCTCAAAGTTTACTTGCTTCTTGACTTGTGATTACAGTTATATCTATGCTTATGCATAAACACCTGATGAAATGGGCCACTTCTTCTTCCTGTCTGAGTTATAGTTTTTTTTTTTCTTTTGTATATTTTAACAGAAATAATTCTTCTACATACATACACACACACACACACACACACACACACACACACACACACACACACACACACACACACACACACACACACACACACATACACACACACACACACACACACACACACACACACACACACACACACACACACACACACACACACACACACACACACTAAATACTTATACCAGAACAACTGAAGAGAATGAACTTGATGGTTATGATCTTTATTTCTTCTGTTGCTAAACTGTTGGAGCATGACAGAAGAATTACCATGATCGATATATCAGAAAACCCAAAGATTGGCCCCTCTACTGAGTGACTGTCAAGCATGATCACATCCAGGTCAGGGGGCTTTGAGCATATTAGGTGTCTGACATAAGAGATGATTCCAGAGTATATAAAGGATACAGTATATTGAAGAAATTATTTGATGAAAAAGTAAAATGATAGAAACACTAAGAATGACTATTATGTCATCACAGGTGATTAAATGTAGATATACCAATATGATCCACAGAATAAGTGTTGGTATGCTGAATGCATACTTCTGTTTGAAGATACTTAAACAAAAATTGAGGACTGCATGACTTCTCCTAAAAATACTTTGCTCCTGATTCAATCCATCAATATACACAATCAATAAGTAACTTCACAGCCAGGTAGTATTAATGCTCAATGGTACAAGGTTAACCCATTGGTGACGGGTGAAGAAAACTGAAGAAAACTCTACGTTCTGGCGATCAATGGCAGTGCGCCGACTTTGAGTACGGGAGTTCGGTACATCAGGCCGAATCACCGGCTTGCTGCCGTGGTATACAGCCGCATGCCACATTTTGAGTGGTTTGTTTTCACGCCTCTAGGTGTCACCCAATGCGAAGGGGTTAAAGAAAGGCAGGCAAGCTCTCGTAGTTATTCAAATGTAATTCTTAGATGCAAAAGTTATCATATGTTGAGTCTTCCTTGGGCCCATATGATTTGATTTGATTTTTTTTTTTTTTTTTTTTTTGAAAGCAAGATAGACTGAAAGTGAGGCACTTTGAGTGCTATTTTTTTTTTCTTGCTATTTTCAAGAGCATTGTGTTCATATTGCCTGATGTTCTATGATGCTTCTATCAGTTGGTTTCAAAGGATGAAATTGCATGACAGATGATACTACATATTTTGAAAGGCAGCATATGTGTGAATGAGATACTGCCATTTCTGTGTCTGTATCCTGCTATCTTTGGACAGACCCCTTGCATGTTACACAAAAAGATTAAGAAAGAAAGAGAGAAAGAAAGAAAGAGAGGATATATAACAAAGATATTCATATGCTCATATATACAAACACAAACATACAGACACATGCAAAAGAATACTAAACTATATAGTACTTCAAATTTCTCCACAGTTTTCCCTAATTAAGCAAAAATAGAATAAAAAAATTAACAGGTAACCATTTAGACTAGAGGCAAAAAAGCTGTCTAAAGATAAAATATTACATCTTTTAAAACCAATTAAGTCTTAAGAGATTCAAAGTAAGCTTGTCATCAGGTAACCATAAAGACTAAATATTGAATACAAAAACTGTTTAAATATTACAATTTTAAAATTACTATTAAGTCTCAAATGAGATTCTAAATAAGCTTAAAATATGTTGACTGTACACACTAAAGTTAAAAGCTTTTAATGTTCTCTATCTATTTTCATGGAGTACAATATTTTGTTTTAGAAACAGTGGCTGTCTTTACTTTTTTGGCAACCTTCCTTCTTTTCTAGTACAATACAGTCATAAAACTGTTATCAAATCTTATTACCTATACCGTTATAGAACATTTTTTGTATCATTTCTAACAACTAAACTATGAGAAACATGAAAGGTATTTAGCTAGTTTAAGTAATATACATCTAATAGAGTACTCTACATTTTTGACAGATCACTATGTCAACTATAAATTTCCTATTCCTAAAGACTAGCAAATAGCAAGAAGATTTATTCAACAACATGCATGTTTTTAAGCTATTAAATTGTGGACCTCAAAGTTTACTTGCTTCTTGACTTGTGATTACAGTTATATCTATGCTTATGCATAAACACCTGATGAAATGGGCCACTTCTTCTTCCTGTCTGAGTTATAGTTTTTTTTTTCTTTTGTATATTTTAACAGAAATAATTCTTCTACATACATACACACACACACACACACACACACACACACACACACACACACACACACACACACACACACACACACACACACACACACATACACACACACACACACACACACACACACACACACACACACACACACACACACACACACACACACACACACACACACACTAAATACTTATACCAGAACAACTGAAGAGAATGAACTTGATGGTTATGATCTTTATTTCTTCTGTTGCTAAACTGTTGGAGCATGACAGAAGAATTACCATGATCGATATATCAGAAAACCCAAAGATTGGCCCCTCTACTGAGTGACTGTCAAGCATGATCACATCCAGGTCAGGGGGCTTTGAGCATATTAGGTGTCTGACATAAGAGATGATTCCAGAGTATATAAAGGATACAGTATATTGAAGAAATTATTTGATGAAAAAGTAAAATGATAGAAACACTAAGAATGACTATTATGTCATCACAGGTGATTAAATGTAGATATACCAATATGATCCACAGAATAAGTGTTGGTATGCTGAATGCATACTTCTGTTTGAAGATACTTAAACAAAAATTGAGGACTGCATGACTTCTCCTAAAAATACTTTGCTCCTGATTCAATCCATCAATATACACAATCAATAAGTAACTTCACAGCCAGGTAGTATTAATGCTCAATGGTACAAGGTTAACCCATTGGTGACGGGTGAAGAAAACTGAAGAAAACTCTACGTTCTGGTGATCAATGGCAGTGCGCCGACTTTGAGTGCGGGAGTTCGGTACATCAGGCCGAATCACCGGCTTGCTGCCGTGGTATACAGCCGCATGCCACATTTTGAGTGGTTTGTTTTCACGCCTCTAGGTGTCACCCAATGCGAAGGGGTTAAAGAAAGGCAGGCAAGCTCTCGTAGTTATTCAAATGTAATTCTTAGATGCAAAAGTTATCATATGTTGAGTCTTCCTTGGGCCCATATGATTTGATTTGATTTTTTTTTTTTTTTTTTTTTTTGAAAGCAAGATAGACTGAAAGTGAAGCACTTTGAGTGCTATTTTTTTTTCTTGCTATTTTCAAGAGCATTGTGTTCATATTGCCTGATGTTCTAAGATGCTTCTATCAGTTGGTTTCAAAGGATGAAATTGCATGACAGATGATACTACATATTTTGAAAGGCAGCAAATGTGTGAATGAGATACTGCCATTTCTGTGTCTGTATCCTGCTGTCTTTGGACAGACCCCTTGCATGTTACACAAAAAGATTAAGAAAGAAAGAGAGAAAGAAAGAAAGAGAGGATATATAACAAAGATATTCATATGCTCATATATACAAACACAAACATACAGACACATGCAAAAGAATACTAAACTATATAGTACTTCAAATTTCTCCACAGTTTTCCCTAATTAAGCAAAAATAGAATAAAAAAATTAACAGGTAACCATTTAGACTAGAGGCAAAAAAGCTGTCTAAAGATAAAATATTACATCTTTTAAAACCAATTAAGTCTTAAGAGATTCAAAGTAAGTTTGTCATCAGGTAACCATAAAGACTAAATATTGAATACAAAAACTGTTTAAATATTACAATTTTAAAATTACTATTAAGTCTCAAATGAGATTCTAAATAAGCTTAAAATATGTTGACTGTACACACTAAAGTTAAAAGCTTTTTAAAGGTAAAGTTGCAATTTTTAGAGCCAACTGCGGCTTAACAAAGATTCAAAGTTAACTTATCAGTTAACCATAGAGATGAAAAGTTGATAACAAAAGCTGTCTAAAAATAAAAGATCACATCTTTAAAGCCAATTATGTCTTAAAAGTGACTCAAAGTCAACTTATTGTACTCTCATATCTATTAGTGACTTTCTGTTCAGGTTCGCAATAGAGTCAGCAATTACAGCTGCCGTTACACGTTGATAGCCACCACTGGTAACCATGATGATGGGAATACGCCTCTCTCTCACCTTCTGGAAAACTATCTCATCCCGGTCTACAATACCCTGAAAAAGAAAACATAATATAACAAATGTATATATATATTCTATATATACATAACTAGAATATATATATATATATATATATATATATATATATATATATATATATATATATATATATATATATAAATATTACAAAAACAGTTCCTCTTTTGCCTATATTTCTACTCAAATGCATTTTATGAGTACCAATCTGAAGGGTAAAAATAAACTAAGATAAAAGCAAATATACCTGTTTGGTCACTGACAGCAGTCCCAAACAGTCTCCTTCCATAATGTCTGTTCCAGCATTGTATATGACCACGTGTGGACTAAATTCATTCAGGGCCCCTTCCACGTGCCTGAGAAGAGCAAGACAGCATATAATACTTGTCCCTTTGTGTGAGTGAATTCTCTTAATTAGCTTCATTTGTTTCTTTATGGATAATATGGTTCACACACATACCAATGTATGTATTTATGCTTGTGTGTGTATATGTGCTTGTACACACACACACACACACACACACACAAGCAGGCATGCACGCATATTTATATGTAGGTACGTACGTATGCATGCATGGATGGATGTATGTATGTATGTATGTATGTATGTATGTATGTATGTATGTATGTATGTATGTATGTATGTGTGTGTGTGTGTGTGTGTGTGTGTGTGTATGTGTATGTGTATGTGTGTGTGTGTGTGTGTGTGTGTGTGTGTGTGTGTGTGTGTGTGTGTGTGTGTGTGTGTGTGTGTGTGTGTGTGTGTGTGTGTGTGTGATAATAGGATAATCCGGCCCTGTATATACATACATATATATATATATATATATATATATATATATATATATATATATATATATATATATATATATATATATAAATGTATACACACACACAAATAAACGTGTATTACAGTGGGCATGGCATGTATTCTTGACACATAGGGCGAATGGATTAAAATCTCCATTTTACATAATTAGTTTGACAAATCATATCTAAAACTGTTTTATCAAGAACAGCACTTACGTTGTGATCTTCTCAAGATATTCATCATCCTGTGTGTATGCAAACAGTTCAACTCTCCGACTTATTGCCCTTTTCGCATAGGTGTCCTTTGGATATATGTATTTGTTGTAGACATCGAGTATGTAGACATCTTTTCTGCCGATGAAGTCACGTTCATGCCCATTACCCTGTAATATATAATATATAATCTATATACTTTCTGATAACAATGAAATATTCCAGTAATTTATAAATGTGTGCAAAAACACATTTGCATACACTTGTTTTATCATACTCCTATGGAATTATAATTTTCTGTTTAGCAATAGTCACAGGCTTCCTGCATTTCAAAAGAAATACATGCATGAATGAACCAAAATTGCCTTGAGTGAAATCTGTTGCCTATTCTGTACAGCGAGAGGGAAAGAAAGAAAGAAAACACTACCTACCTGGTGAGCGTCAAGGTCAATGATCATAACCTTCTGAATGTTAGGGTAATGGTTGAGAATAAAGTGCACTGTTAGTGTAATATCTGCATAGGCACAGAAGCCACCACCCATGTTTCCACTGCAGTGATGAAAACCACCTCCAATATTTATTGCCCATCCTCGCTCCACTGCTAGTTTCCCTGCCAAGACACTTCCTCCTGTTTGGTATCTGAAAACATGAATACAGTTTATAATATCTGTAGAGTATTCTTGTAGGTAGTACCGAAATAACTAATATAGAAAAAATATTGAGTGACCTTACTCTTATCTTTACATAATTCACTGTCCCACTGAATCTGGATATTCCCCAGCCTACTCTGACACCACTTTACAATCTGATGCTAAGACCATTACTTTTTGGTATACACTTCAATGGCAATGACTTTTCCACATTAGGGTGACACCGAGTGCCTAGCAGTTGACAAGGTTAAAGGGAAGAACATGATAATTGTTTAGCATGGGCTATTATAAATGTTTAGCACTGCCTTCATCTCAGCAAAGAGAAAATTATAATTTTCACTATGAAGTAATATATATACACAGTATTCCCAAAACACATTAGCAAATAAACAAGGTGCAAGTTTTTAATGTCTGTATTTAAGACATATATCAGGGATAGATTCACACACTGTATATACAAGATTCATTGTCACATTGTCTGCCTCTCTCTAAAATATAAAGTTTTACTGATTAATATATGAAGTGTTTTAAGCTTTGCATCCTAATGAAATGCTATGAAATGGCAAGTAAATTAATACAGACCAAAAAAATTAATTCACTTCAACATGAATCTTCTGAATACAACAGAGGACTTTGCTAACACTATCTGCTTTAGTAACTTACCTGAATGGTTTTAATACCTTTTTCTGCACAACCATATTTGGCAAAAGTGCTACTGGAGCAACCTCTGTAATTTTTGCAACATTCACACTCCACTGAAATTAAAATAGGGGGATTGAACAGGACATCTTGTTGAAATTAAAAAAGGGGATTAAACACTGCAATTTCCACTTTGCATTATAATCACTGCTGAGATAATCTGTATTAATTTAATATATTCTGATTTTTAAAACTGAATGCTTGTTCATTAAATGTCTGAAACTGGCTAAAAACTGCTATAATAACAATATGCTGGGAGGTAATAATGATAATTATTTGGCATGACAAAAGGAAACTAGTTCTTCATTGTAAATATAATATACACATTCCTTAATAAATCCTGTTAGATTTGTATTTCACTTTGTACTCTCCAGAGATGACTGAATGTACCTGTATGTGTCTGAAACAGTTATGTCATACCTTCAGACTTCTAAGATAGGAGGCTGTATGTACGAAGCGTAAGTCAGTCTCAGTGGCTTCATTTGGGCACACTAATTTCAAATCTTTCAGTAATTTCTTCTTCTTCAAATACTAAAAATAAAAGAAAGATTAAAGTTTGTGTGGTTGTAACAATATATACTTATCACTATTTGTCTAAAAAAATACTCAGTATCTTTGTGAATGCTAGGCAAATATCAAACTTCATGATAATACTGTTTAATATCTAATACATTTTTACTTTTATCTAAATTATCTGTAACATTTAAAATATTTTACAGGTAAACATAAAAATTAACATACTTTTACAACATTCCCCCATTTTCCAGCATCAAATGGGTGCAGTTTTTCCATGCCAAGCAAACGTATGTTGTACTCATCACGATAAACAATGGGTATGCATTCCATACCAACATCCACATACAGCTTGCTTTCAGCAGCCCTGGAACACATGATGGTTAAGGTTGTTGCAAAGTTTGGAAAATATGTATGATACTTAGATAATGCTTAAAGGAACAGAATGCTTGAGCAAACAAAAATAAAGATTTAATGGGGATGTTAGGCCTAATTTCCAAAGAATGATAATGACTGTACAAATCAGATCATTAACTGATGTAAAGTCTCCCAAAAAGTTAACAGAACAATCTTCTGTGGACAGTTTAAAACTTTACCAATCATATTTTGCAGGTGCATAATTTTATCATATGAATCAAGGAATGCACTTGCTAAAATTGATCAAAATAACATAAATCAAATAATGCAATACAATATTTTTATTTGATTCTTTCTTACATTACCTACCATGAGATGGAAAGACAATAAAAAAGAAATCATTCATCATGTGGTTCAAATATGGCTATGAGTTAAGTACATATATCTAAATATGGATGTAGAGTGGCTTGCTTAAGTTAATATAATAATCCACTCATGTTTCTTATATTGTTATACATTGTGATTTTGAAGTAAAAAAAAATGTCACTGAACTACATAAATTGGAATGAAAGACATGGTTACTGAGCACAATTTTTTCTAGCAATTAAAAAAAAAATTCTCATTAAGCTATGAGTAATAAAATATCCAGATGGCAAATACAAAGAACTTGAAACTTACAGTTCTTTTGGCATTGCATCATTGTCTGTGTTGTCTTCTGGGCTTACAGATGCCATTCTGCCTGTAATATAAATGGAATATAATTATTGTGGAAATAATTGGGATAACAGGGATGAAACCATCAACAGAAATATCATTCCAAAATTAATGAATGCTAATGCTTGAACCATATACAAAAGAAGGCTAAAGGTTGTGAAAGTGACACAAGAAAATGTAACTGAACAGGAAAAGGAAAACTATCAGAAAACAAGGAAAAACATATATTCTTCAGGAAAATGAAATAAATGATGAAATCCTAACATGGTATTATAAAATTCTCAATAGAGGAAAAAAACAAGATAATGATAAAATGTTGAATTGATAACACTATTCCTCAGGTTTTCCTTCTAGCCCTCTCTATATAACAGCCAGTAAACTTTACCTCATGTATTTTTGACAAAACATCCTCATCCCTCTAAACATACAACAATCATCCAGCAAGAGAGATTTTGTATTGTAAAAGAGAATTTGTACTGCGGGCAAGATGGGTCCAGCAAATGGTTTGCTGAGGGTTTTATATATATATATATATATATATATATATATATATATATATATATATATATATATATATATATATATATATATATATATATATGGATTTTCTGAAGGAATGTTAAAGACTGAAGTATAGCTCTAATTTCCACTACCACAATTTCAGCTGTCAAAACTTGACAGTAAGCAATAGAGTACGGACCAATAAAGATAAATGTTTCCTTTATCGGTACTACCTATATGCTGAAATACTTTTAGTTGTTTTCTTCCAACCCTGGTGAATGTATCCATAGAATTTTTTTATTTGTAACAAAAAATTGCTAGTTTTATTATTAGGCATTTAAATATCATAAGCAATGAATTTAAGAACTAATCAATATCAAAATTTATTGTCATATTCCAGCATAATAATACAAAACATAAAAAATTCTAGACTACTCTGCATGTTATATCAATATATTCCAAGATAAATTATCATTTGTGACTGTTCTGGTCTCCAAACTTATATTCTGGCAAGTTAGAATTAGATTCTAACTCAAGCATATTTACAATATTCAATTTTTTTTTCAGGGAAGGAATGTAATGCTACATGTACTGAACATAGGTAGCCTAATTCAATTTATATTACCAAGACTTACTGAACTCTTTAAGTATTTATTTGTCTTGACTGATACTATCAGTAAATGTTTACACAGCACCTAGAGTGCCTTTCAAAACAGGATTTCCTTTCATAATCATACTGGCCAAATTCTTTCTATATGCACAAGCCATTTACTGTGATCTGTGATGGATTGCCAACAATCTTAAAGTGAAGTAGAAAGTGGCTTGACACTATTTTGGAATACTTGGATTGGTTAATTATTTTATGAAAAGTAGCTAAGAAGGTCTACAAGCTTTATTTTGTTAGAATACACAAGGTAGTAGTTTGTTAGTCTTTGCTGAAGCATCAATAGTTTAATGGACTGATTTCTTCTAAACATCTCCCAAAATTTAAACTATCTGTAATACTTCACAGCCTATTAATCACACTTCTAATTTTCTAAGGATATTTGACAGAAAGAAAGAAAAAAAACTAAAGAATAGATTTATTGAGATGAAATTACAATTTCTTAAAAATAAAAATAAAAAAATAAAATAAAAATAAAAATAAAATAAAATAAAAAATAAATATCAAGAGTTGACCTGAACAAATATAAGTATGTTAAAACAAATAAAGTTGAATTTTAGTCTTATAAAACACTTATTTGAAATATTCTAACAGAGATACTAAAAAAAGAAATAAAGAAAGAAAGAATTACAACATCATGTAACACACTTTAAAAATAATAGCAATAACATATTTTTAAACTTGAATAAATGACTGTAAATGACTGAGTGCCATATAATCCTATTACATAGAGCATCAATGTATAAACATTCATAACATTCAATGAACTGAAAGCTTAAGCATTATATACTGATATTTTGCATATCCATCCATCAATATAATCCAACACAGGCAATTTCATGCAAAATTCTTTGTATAGCGCTCAATTTAGTGTTCTCTATACTTCAGATGTTAATAGTGTGGTTTTCATTTACAGTATCAAGTAAATAAATACAAATATTGTTCCTTTCACTTTCACAGGAATTGATGTCTTCTGGTGTATCAGATATTCTGTAGTACAAGTCACAGAGGGGTTTAAGCATCTATTTCATGAATAAAAACATGCAACTTGCGGGCTAAGAGATGTGGTATATGTTTCAGGGTAGAGGGAATATTGTTGACCTAATAAATATTATACTTTCAGCAAATTGTGGCTAACAGAGTATGACTTACTTCCCTATATTTTAGCTATTAACCCAATGACGCCGGGTGTACAAAAGGAAAATAAAACTCTACGCTCTGGCAAACAAAGGCAGCGCGCCGACTTTGAGCGCCGGAGTACGGGGCGTCAGCCCGAATCACTGGCTCGCCGCGCTTTGGCGCGCCGCCGGCTGGTTTGGCCGCACGCCACCTTTCGAGCGATTTGTTTACACGCGTATCGCCGTCACCCGGCGGCAAGGGGTTAACTAAATTTACAATCTTGAGTTCAACCAGGTGGTATGGTGTCAAATTGACCTCCATGAATTACACAGCGCAGAATCCTACAAACCCTCATTAATATGTACTTACAAGATCGAACTTGAACTTGGTCTTTATTGACAATGACTCAACAAAGAGTTAGACTCTCATGCTTACTTTATAGACCCATACATGCTTCCACAAACCACTTCCAGTCAGTAAAAATCAATAGTCTATAATATTTTTAAGAATGCTGAATTAAAGTCTGAAGTGGTTTAATCCAAATCAACCACTGTCTTATATGTTGTGAGTTTGTGGTAAAGACTGGCAAACTGAACACTTTTCCTTTAACCCAATGGCGCCGGGTGTACAAAAGAAAAAAATCAAGAGTTGACCTGAACAAATATAAGTATGTTAAAACAAATAAAGTTGAATTTTCCTTCACTTTTAGTCTTATAAAACACTTATTAGAAGTATTCTAACAGGAATACTAAAAAAAGAAATAAATAAAGATAGAATTACAACATCATGTAACACACTTTAAAAATAATAGCTATAACATATTTTTAAACTTGAATAAATGACTGTAAATGACTGAGTGCCATATAATCCTATTACATAGAGCATCAATGTATAAACATTCATAACATTCAATGAACTGAAAGCTTAAGCATTATATACTGATATTTTGCATATCCATCCATCAATATAATCCAACACAGGCAATTTCATGCAAAATTCTTTGTATAGCGCTCAATTTAGTGTTCTCTATACTTCAGATGTTAATAGTGTGGTTTTCATTTACAGTATCAAGTAAATAAATACAAATATTGTTCCTTTCACTTTCACAGGAATTGATGTCTTCTGGTGTATCAGATATTCTGTAGTACAAGTCACAGAGGGGTTTAAGCATCTATTTCATGAATAAAAACATGCAACTTGCGGGCTAAGAGATGTGGTATATGTTTCAGGGTAGAGGGAATATTGTTGACCTAATAAATATTATACTTCCAGTAAATTGTGGCTAACAGAGTATGACTTACTTCCCTATATTATAGCTATTAACCCAATGACGCCGGGTGTACAAAAGAAAAAAAAAACTCTACGCTTAAACAAATAAAGGCGGCGCGCCGACTTTGAGCGCGTGAGTAGGGGACATCAGCCCGAATCACTGGCTCGCCGCGCTTTGGCGCGCCGCCGGCTCGCTCGGCTGCACGCCAGCTTTCGAGCTCTTTGTGTACACGCCGATCGGCGTCACCCAGCACCAAGGGGTTAAAAAAAATCTAGTTTAAGTTCACATAATGCATACAAGTAAATTTAATAGTGATCAATTCTTATTATTGTTTGCAAATGACTGATATACTATACTTAGGCGTTTACAACACTTAGGTCTGTCTGATCTTCATACCTTATTATCAATAAATACCATTAATTTAGTTAATTGCCCCAAACTTGAGGTCTAACCCTTTGAACTTTAAACTCGTGTGTCTTCATTCATCTGAAGGCATGCAAACATTCATCTTGCAAAAATACATTGACGCAGGCCACGAAAGTACTATAACATAACATAACATAAATACTATAACGTAACATAACATAAATACTATAACATAACTATAACATTGTAACATAGTCGGTTGAATAAGGTTGGCGCATAAATCATACGTTCAAGTCTATCAGTAAAATGCCCAGGGAATTGGTTGGTACGAACAAGGCAAACTGTCAACCAAGCCATTACACAAAAAAGCCATATGAGTCCTTAATTTCCGTGCACTTCAGACTCCCACACCTCGTAAGTATGATAATTACGGTGAAACTAGCCAGAAGAAGAGTGCGGGGACTACATGTATAAAGTTATGTTTCTATAATCAAGGTGATTTTATGATTGCTAGTAAAATTTGTCTTATAATTTATGAGTAATTGATGTTTTTTTTAGGTTTGATTTGTGATTTATCTACTCCTTATCTGCGAGAAATATCATATAAGTAAAATATAGATCGCCTTTTTATGACTCCTTTCGTTGATTTAACTCATATCTATAAAAATATAAAACGAATTAATATGATGTGAATAAGTGAAAATTACTTAGTGAAAATTACTTTGCTGAAATTAGGAGTGTCCGTTTCCCCTTCAATTATTTTCCCCGTAGTTTCCTTCAAAGGTAAACAAACAAGTCGTGTCGCACATGTTCTTCCTGTGAGCGGGTTATAGGCGTAGAAGCAGTTGTATTATTGTGAGTCAAATGCTTTTACAATTTTTCATTATAATGTAGCTAACCAACTGGATGCCTAGTTAAAGAAAAGTCCTTGAAGGCTTACTTTTGAGTGAGAGATGGTTGTACTAATAGCAAAGTGTAAGCAAATCGCCACATAGACCTTTCTAAATATGCAAGCCAAGTCGTGATTAGTGTACTGGAGTCCACAGTAATGTATTGAGTGACTGTGGATATATTTCTTATAAGTGATTTTAGATTAGAGTTCTGGTCGCGGGTACACAGTGTAGAATCCTCGCTCGACCCATGGCAGGGTAGAGCGCAGAACGACATGTGGGAGTATCCGATGCCGAGTCCGTCCGGCACTCCTGTAGTGAAGGATTCTTTGCTTTCCTGGGCGGGGATTGGAGTCACACACACACACTCTCTCTCTCTCTGTACCTGTACCTGTACCTGTACCTGTACCTGTACCTGTACCTGTACCTGTACCTGTACCTGTACCTGTACCTGTACCTGTACCTGTACCTGTACCTGTACCTGTACCTGTACCTGTACCTGTACCTGTACCTGTACCTGTACCTGTACCTGTACCTGTACCTGTACCTGTACCTGTACCTGTACCTGTACCTGTACCTGTACCTGTACCTGTACCTGTACCTGTACCTGTACCTGTACCTGTACCTGTACCTGTACCTGTACCTGTACCTGTACCTGTACCTGTACCTGTACCTGTACCTGTACCTGTACCTGTACCTGTACCTGTACCTGTACCTGTACCTGTACCTGTAC